AGGATCAGGAATAGGATGATCAGAAGAATGAATGAGTTGAGGGGAAAGATAATCTGAATGTTGTAGTTCAAACATGTCAAGATCAGTAGAAGTAGGTTCAGCAGGTTCAGCTTAGTAAGGGAAGGTAGATTCTCTGAAAGTTACATCTCTACTCACAAAGAAAACATTATCGACTAAATCAAATAACCTATAACTCTTTTGAGTTTCAGAATAACCAAGAAAGATTGCCTTTCTGGCTCTAGGAGCAAACTTATCCCCTCTTGGCAATTGAGCTGCATAACATAAGCACCCAAAAACTCTTAAATGATCAAGTCGTGGAACCTTTTTCAACAACATCTCATAAGGTGATCTGCCTCCAAGCACTTCAGTAGGTAGCTTATTAATCAAATACACAGTTGTCCTAACACACTCACCCCAGAAATGAATTGGGAGAGAACTTTGAAATCTCAAAGCCCTTGCCATCTCCAAGATGTGTCTGCATTTCCTCTCTACTTTACCGTTTTGTTGAGGGTTGTATACACAACTACTTTGATGTATAATGCCTTGAGAAGCAAGCAAATCATTTACAAAAGAGTTGAAAAACTCAGTACCATTATCAGATCGCAAGGTTTTCACAGACAAACCAAACTGATTTTTTATTAAGGCAATGAAATCTTTGAGCACTACAATAACCTCACTTTTAGAGTGAATGAGGCATAGCTAGCTGTATCTACTATAGTCATCAACAATAGTAACAAAATAGTGCTTTTTATCAAAAGTAGGCTTCTTATATGGCCCCCAAACATCTACATGAATTATTTCAAATGCTTTGAATGTTCTGCTTTCACTAACAGGAAACTGTAATCTACACTATTTTGCTAGTGGACAGATCTCACATTCATGTTGTATATTCTTGTTTGATAAATGCTTCAGTGATTGAATATGCTGTAAAATACCAGTTGACGTATGCCCTAATCTCAAATGCTATAATGTTGCATCTCCACTCAAATTTGCAGTAGCCATAGCCTGCACTGGTGACTGTATTTGGTTTCTCAAAATGTACAATCATTTCCTCTCTTTACCAATCCCCAACACCTTGCCATTGTAGAGTCCCTGAAAGACACAAAAATCAGGGAAAAAACACATTGTACAAGATAGTTCCCTGGTTAACTTCGACACTGACAACAAACTAAATTTGAAGTCTGGCACATGCAAGACATTTCTAAGTTCACGGTCCTCTAGAACTTGTGCAGTACCAATTCCTTTGATATCACATCTACTTCCTGTTGGAATTTGTACTCCATCACTGTTATTTCCTTGTATTCTTCTAATAGCAGTCAACAACTCTTCATTAGGTGTGATGTGGTGTGTAGCTCCACTATCAATTATCCATTCATAAACTCTACCTGGTTTTGAGTTTAAAGAAGCCATACCTGACATATTAGCAACACAATCTGATGTTCCTGCTCTATCCATCCTGTTTACCAGATTTTGGTATTGAGGTGGTGTCATGTGACCTTCAGCTTGCTTTCCTCTATCATAGAAATCATCAGCATTCCTTGTGAAATGTGCACCTTCAACTTGCTTTCCTCTATCGTTGAAGTCATCAGCATTCCTTGTGAAATGTGCATTTGGTTTGAAGTCAGGTCTATCATAGAAATCATCAGCATTCCTTGCGAAATGAGCACTTTCAGCTTGCTTTCCTCTATCATTGAAGTCATCAGCATTCCTTGTGAAATGTGCACCTTCAGCTTGCTTTCCTCTATCATAGAAATCATCAGCATTCCTTGCGAAATGAGCACTTTCAGCTTGCTTTCCTCTATCATTGAAGTCATCAGCATTCCTTGTGAAATGTGCACCTTCAGCTTGCTTTCCTCTACCATTGAAGTCATCAACATTCCTTGTGAAGTGTGCATTTGGTTTGAAGTCAGGCCTAAAACCTTCAGCTGCTTTGTAGTCATTCTTGTAACCATCAGTTCCTTTTCTTTTACTTTGAAATCATTTAAGAGGTGCAATTTCAGACCACAAATGATAAATTCGCGTTAGATCTGATCTATCAAACCTTTCCTCAAAGTCTTCCCAAACTCTTTTCGCGTTTGAAGCATATATAATCCCTGGCAGTAATTCACTTGTAACAGTACTCGCAATCCACGATAACACTATTGCATTACATTTTTCCCATTGTTCCTCCAGTGCTCCTTTGAAAGCTGTCTTCCTACATGATCCATCAACGAATCCAAGTTTTCCTTTTCCTCTAAGAGCCAATTTCATCGAGCGACTCCACAAGGCATAATTCTCTGGTCCTGTTAGCTTGATTGGAACTAAGATCACTCCAGGTGCATCAGATGCTTGAAGATAAAGTGGATGATTGTGATTCAGAGATGTGACTTCATTTTCTGCCATTGATGTTGCTTCATCTATCGGCATTGATGCCTCTTTTAGGAGCTTTTTCTTCACTTGTTCTTATCTTCTTCTACGTAGATCGATCCCTCACGATCTGGGCTCTGATACCATGTTAAACCATATTAATGGTTTATTGACTACATCATAGAGAGCATTTTGAGTAAGAAGAAGAAAAAGTGTTTTCATATATGAACCAGATCCAAGTTACAGCTATTTATACATCACAATTATTGTAACTAACTTTGTACTCTACAAGTGGGCATAACAACTTTCGCGTGAATACTTAACTGACTCAACCAATTCTAATTATAAACCACCGTATTATTTAATATGATCTTATTTTGTACAATATAATTTCAGACAATGTGGAGTATAGCTCCATCCCTGAGTAGTACATTAATGATCACAAGAAGTAGAATTTTTCAGTGATGGATCTGAAATGAATTAGGCAGATCATGAAATAGGAATTTAATTAATTTAAAATAATATAATGTAGTGTGTCACCTGAAGCAGCTACACCTTTCTGTCATCACATGCTAAAATATTATGAGTGGCAGTGGATTTGTCCATAACTGTATCTTTCCGCAGAAAATGGGCCTAATCAAAATTGTTTGATGTTGGCTATTCAAAATCTAGCACATTGAAATTCTTACCATGCTAATTAAAATCTTTCAAATTCTTTGAATTTGTTTTCAGTATATTCTTGCTACGTACTATAGCAAAAATGATTAGCCAGCAGTAGATTTTGAAAGTTCACTATTTTTGTCTCTCAAAAAAAAAAAAAAAACTTACCTATTTGTCTAGACTTACCATGCTAATTAAAATCTTTCAAATTCTTTGAATTTGTTTTCAGTATATTCTTGCTACGTACTATAGCAAAAATGATTAGCCAGCAGTAGATTTTGAAAGTTCACTATTTTTGTCTCTCAAAAAAAAAAAAAAAACTTAACTACTTGCTAGAATATGTCTCTCTTGGACTTTAGAATAGGAAATTTGGTCATTGATGATTGGGATTTGGGCGGCCAAAAAGGCTTTAATGTTATTTGCGAATATTTATTGAAAGTTATGTGATTTTAAGTTTGTGGTAAGAAAAATTAGTTAGATTATTTTTCATGCAATTGAACTAACTATGATCAGTCCAATGGCCTTGCATCATGTAATTAACCCAGTAAAGATGCATGGTTTCTCGAAACCATATTTTCTGCTGACTAATTTGTTTTATGCCATTAAGAAGTATAATGAATAGTAATTAACGCTAATTAATCAACATGCGACGAACGTATTCTTTTTAGCTGGAAATACTAGCAACTATTTAGGTGTAAAACCGTCCCTAATTAATTCTTTGTACAGAAGAATTATGCCATGTACGGTCACCTGACACTGGATATTCAACCTAATTAAATTAAAAATGTCTTCTTTATTATGTTTTGTTCTATTTTATTAACGTGCTTTCCGACCTTTCTGCCAAAAAAATAAAATAGCATGATTAAATTATAATAATCACATGATAATGACAGACATCAAGACAAAGAATGTTTACGGTTGATTAAACATCACCTAATTGGTTTTCGATTCCTGTCTAATGTTGTTTAATTATCAGTTTAAAGGTTTAAACTAACATTGATTTTAATTACTGATCTATTGATCAATGGTTTCAGGATCGTAGTTGAATTATTAAGAGTAGTGTAGTTTTACAATAATCATCTAGCTCTAGCTAATAATCATATTAGGTCTTAACCAAGTAATTAGCAAAATAATCAATGCATTAATAGTAAGATAATGTACACAACTTTTTAACCAAAATGAAAAGTTATGACTTATGAGCATTCCTTCTGATATAACACAAAGCAAGTGTGGTGCGTCTGACGTTCTTGACGATCAAATATAACACAAGGAGCTCCATATTATCCTATGTTCGAGTAACACATATTAACGGCTCTCGAATCTCGGATATTATTTAGGAGTGGAGAATGAAGGCATAAATAGGGTTTACTCACAAATATTCATCAATAAAATCTCTCTTTCATAAAAAATAAAAAAATCAAACGAAAGTCACACCCCTCTTGTGAAAATAGCGACAAGAATAATTCTAGACACTACAACGACCGTGAAAGATTGTATTCAAAGAACACAAAATCCAGTAATTCATTTTTTGTATTTTTCTTGGTGAAATTAAGAGTTTACTAATTGGGATATGTTTAGGTTTGCTTTCTTTTGTATCCAGCAAGAATAATAAGCCAGCTAGTGATGTTGAAACTTGTAGAATTTGTAGTAGGAATAACAACTAAAAGATGTCATTTTACTAATTTCAACTCTTAGGCGGTGAGGCCGGTAGCACATAATGATTGGGGGGCAACAATATAACTATATATTCTCAATATGAACATCACTATTAGGAGAAAGGGACTAAAGCCTAATGTAACCTATTTTAGAGCCAACAAATAAAACAATTCTACACTGCCGGCTGTTGGCTACTACACCAATAAACATCACCTACAATAATTGAAAAAATTAGAAACATACACAATTCCACAAAAAGATATAAGTAGAGGCAAGAATGATCATTCTCTAGCATTCACTTGATAACTAAGTCTCTATAGTAAAACGTAGATATAGAGATGGCTAATTCAAGTCATGTTAGATTGATTAGCTTTCCGTCTCGTTCACAGCCAGAGTATCTAAGAGTTGAGATTGAGCTAAACAGGCTCAAAACATGGGAATCAACATCAATTTCTTCAACAACAACCCCTTTTAGTTTAAACACTATTCAACAAGGCCTTGTAGGGCTAGCAGAGTTGTATAATTGTGTTCAAGACCTTCTAGAGTCCCCGATGATTCAACAAGCTCTCCTCGATTTAGATCCATCTTTATCTAAGCTATTTGCAGTACTAAGACAAGTATCAATCTTGACCATCTCAGTCCAATGTTCCCAACTTTCTTTCTTGTCTTCGCCAGCTTCAAAGGCGAAGAAAAACGGGTGGTCATTGATTTCAAAAATGCTTGTTACAAAATCAATGACTTATAAGGGAGATGAAAAGACAATCAATGAGGTTGAATATGTTGATTTTGCTCTTTGTTCTTACCTTCACAACAACGATTTTAAAGTTGATGTATCGATGATTCAGAGAAAATTGCAGATATTAAATACTGGTCTTCAAGCTATTGAGGTTGGCACAGAGTGCTGGTCAAGGCAATTAATCAGAAACAGAGTCTGCCTTCTTAACATCCTTACTCCTTAGAAGATATTGTACATTAGTCTTAATATATAAGAATTAAGGCATACATTTTTAAAAGCATATGCCTATTCTTGAACACCAATTTTTGTAATATTTGGAAGTGAAATATGCAAAGCCAAAGTTCAACCATTCCTCTCTACTAGTTTGTTTATTTTGCATTATTCGATTAATATTTACTATATGACGAGCCAAATGATAATGAGACCCATTCTTGTTGAATTATGTTTTTTCATTACTACAAGGCTAATTTTTCTTAACTGCTTCCCAATATTGAGGCCTAGAAATGTGTCTTACCCTTCAACCAAGATTAACAAATGTCGAGCGCTGAATGTATTTCAAGATCTATAAATACCAAAGTTTTCCTAAAACAAAACATCAACAAGCAATTCATAATTTCTTCGGCAAATAGTTTGATTTCTCACTCTGTGACATTACTTTCTCAATTTCTATTCCAAAATCATGGATAACTCCCAGAACTTGAGCTACCAAGCTGGCCAAGCCAAGGGCCAAGCTCAGGTAATTTACATGCTATTACTTGCACATTCAATTTTCCTTTAACATGCTCGAAGATCATTGATGGAACCAGAAATTCTAATAAATGGATTTGGAAAAATAATGCAAGAATAACAAATCGAGGGAATGCAACAATTTATTATGTATATATAAACAAAACTATTTTTCACTTATTAACATATGATTTTTAACACAAATAGAATCTATTCTATTCAGATTATGTAGCTCTGCCTTTGACAACGTGCGATATATGTTGTTATATTTACATCAGGAAAAAGGTAACCAGATGATGGACAGGGCCGCCAATGCTGCACAATCTGCCAGGGAAACAATCCAGGAGGTAATTTGCTTGTTGATATATATATACAAACACACACACACACTTTTAGCTGATTCATTAGACAAAAAAATAATGTGTTATATTTGGTTTATAGGCGGGGCAGCAAATGCAGGCCAAGGCACAAGAGGCGACTAATGCAGTTAAAAATGCCACTGGCTTAAACAAATAAACTCCTATTTTCAACTAAATGGGTTGTTTTTTCCCCTTTCAAAAGTATGAAGTTTCTTTGTTTTTTTCTTTTTCTCAAATTAGGGAAGCAGCTTATGTTGCTTAGCATTGAGCATTGTTAAGAGTTTTCTTGTTTCTGAATTAAAGAAGAAGCTGTTTACATTGTCACAGCTCTCTTTATTTTTGTTTCACTCTAATAATATTACTATTGTTTGGTTCAATTTTACAGATTCTTTTGAAATCAGATCAGGAGATTAATTTAAATATTTAAAATTAAAAGTTAAATACTCATACCAAACTATAAATCAGAATTCAGTTAATTATTAGTTTAGAGCTGCTTCTTGATTAAGTATTTGGAGTTAATTGGGTACTTAATACTGAAGCATAGAGAGTGAAAAAAAATGACGCTTCTGTTTACGTTAACTGAACAAAAAACTGCTAATTAAATTAAAGTGTTTATATTCTAAAAAAATTCTCGATCTTAGTACTATTTTTACTTCTTCTCGATCTTAATAGGAGTAGTAATTAGTTGCATTTTAATCAAACTGAAGTAAATTTAAATTATTCCGTCCAACAATAGTTGTCCACTATACTAAAAATAGTTGTCCAACTATACTTGTTCAGTTTAGAACATCAAGAGATTATTTATCTTTTATGTCTATTTTACACTTGCTATTAAATATTATTTATCATCTATCACATTTCTCAAAGCATTAAATTTAATAAAGTCAAATGATAAAATAGTAGTAATATTACCCCTATTATTTATTGTTTCTTAAAGAGTGTGTCAAGTCAATAGTTGAACAAATGGAGTACTTTAAAGAAAATACAAAAAACCGTTTGTGTTTGATCAATAAATTTAAAAATCATTTTGAGCAGCAATTAGTGTGACCAAACTTTTTAAAAATGCTTCTAAGTGTAAACGTTTTTTCTACGAGTAACACTTATTTTCTCCAAAAGTTTGGCGAAATACTTTACTTTTTCAAAATAAAAACTTTTGGCCTTCCAAAACTTGATCAAACAGACTAAATATATGATTAACACTAATTTGTAGAACACGAAAAAATGAAAGAAACACATGATAATCAAAAGGATAAAGTTACAATTAATTTGAGACCTATATGCTAATGTATGTTCCCCCATTCCCTTTACCCCAGTTGGTCTTGTCCTATTCTTCTCAATTAATTGACTTAATTCTCGACTAATTCACTCACATGGCTGATGGCACCGTCCAAGAAAACTGAGATTATATTGCAAATTAATCCTACTCTTTAGCCGAACATTTTATTTTGCATTTGTTAAGTGGCGTGCTCTCCTAATTCAATATATATAAAATAAACTAATTTTTATATTATTCTCTCTAATGTGGCTTCATGAAATAGGTTAAGTTATTGTTTTATTATTCTAATGTGACTTTATGATATAGGTTAACTTAACTTTCAAGGGAATTTGTGATTCAAGTAGGAAAAAAAAACGATTAGGATCGATGATGTAACCTTTATTTCCTGAAATGATTAATCCCCCGGTGTTCAAAAATGGTATTCCATCAAGTAAGCAGCATTTCAAGTGAAAATGCGATTAAAAAATGAATTGTTGAGATAATTGGTGAAAAATGCTATTCCATCAAGTAAGCAGTATTTCAAGTGAAAATGCGACTAAAAAAATGAATTGTTGAGTCAGAGAAAAATAAAATAAAAAAATGTCAGAAGTGGGATTTGAACCCACGCCCTCTTACGAAGACCAGAACTTGAGTCTGGCGCCTTAGACCACTCGGCCATCCTGACTTATATGATAATTCATTGATACTAATCAATGACCTAAAATAGAATAAAACAAAATAAATTACGACAGTGAAAAATGATCAGGAACCAGAAAATAATAATAATAATAAGCCAATTACGTAAGAATGTTGAATACTGAAATTTTAGTAGGAGAATCGACTTGAACATATACTCAAATTCATAATGTATCCTACTAGTAAAACTTTAGTTATTGTATGATCAAATCAAAGCCCATCTTTCATGTGATGTTTAATATAATGTCCGTTGTGTCACCCTTACCACCAAAGGCCCATGCCCCATGTATGTTAATTAATTAATTGAAGTTAACTAAAAGCCAACTTCATGTAAAATTAGTCAATATATAATTAAGTACTATACATAAGTAATTAATGTATGAAAACATTTATTAATTACCTCAAACATTGAGCGAGCAGCCTTGTTGGAAAGAGTTGAATAATTACCTCAAACATTGTTTTTACTATATAAAATTGATCAATGGATCAAACAAAATTCATATAAAACTTTAAAACATTTAATTTTGAGTTTTCCTAATTATAATAGGAAATAGACAAAAAAAAATAAAAAATTGTGGCTCCACCATCCCCAATACCCACACTAGACATTCGTGAATGGTCAATTTTTCACCTCTTTAACATTAAATTCCGATCCCATGCATGTATAACAGGAGTACATGCTGCTGTGTACTTGTGTTTTGGTTATAAGTTCTTTGAATAGATATCAATTTACTTATATATACTGTTTCATTCTTGCATCACACAGATTCAACTCATTCGACATTTTTATGTCATATATGTTTAATGTTTTTGTCTGTTCATGCTCATAGTCATACCTAGCTAACAATTCTCTATGCATTGCATTTCTTCATGGTGATAGCAGAGAACTATTTAACTTGTTCTATTCCATCTCTCTTTTTATTTAATTTCCTTGGTACCCTATGATATTTTTTATTTCTTTATTTTTATTGTTATTTTTATTATTTACAATAGCTTATTAGTTTCTGCTTGTTTTTATTATTTTACCAAATGCCTTTTTTGTTTAAATTTTATCTATTTTTCTTTCCGAATAATTTAACTTTTCCAAAGGACGGGTGCAGTGAAGAATAATACGAGTAATTGATGGGTAAAATTAGGAAAAAAAAATTAGCAAGAAAATAAGTAAACCTCGGATCAAACTGAAGCTCAACTTGGGATGAAACGTATAGAATAATATAAAATATCTACTTCGAAATGTTTTCAAGCAAACCAAAATAATTAGGCATAAAATGACTCATTTTGTCCTTCAAATTAGTCCGTATTTAATTTTTTTCCTTTTATCAATCGGACTTATGCCTAGTCCAAATATAACACATAAAATATTATATAGACGTATGCGTCACAAAAAAATTATTTAAAAATCTGCACAAAATAGAGGCAAAACTGCAAATGGCCACAATTAGGAGCTTAGCACCTCAGCTTGACTTCCCACATTGTGATATCCAATTTAGTGGCGGAGCCAGAAATTTCATGAAAGATGTCTAAGAATTGCATAGGTAAAAAAGGAAAATTAACGAATCGGTGCTATATATAAAATTTTGTAAATCAAATTATGTAACATAAATAATATACCAAAAATTTTAAAATCAAAGTATATAATATTTAACTTGGATGTTCATGTTTATTTAATATGAAGTGAACAGAAAAAAGAAAAAAAAGAAAATTCAGTTTAAAATGAAATCACATTTTTACTTAAAGATTTCACCGAGAAATTGAAAATAAAGAGTAGATCAAAAGAGATTTTTTAAAAGAAATTTTATATAAAGCCTTTTTCACTTTTAATAGTTTTATAGAAAAAAAGAAATAAGATTTTCTAATAAACTTTAAATTAAATAATTAATTTTAAATTTTATTTAAAATTTAATGAAAAGAAAAAAAAAATCAAAAGTCAAATTGATTAAAAAGTTAATTGGCTACTAAACTTTTTTTTTCCTTAAAATTTTAAGTTGTAGGTCTCATATTTAAGATTATTTTAATAGATGTAGGTGTGGGGAATCGAGCTCACATGGAGGTTGTTACCCTCAACTTTGGCTGAACACCAGATTCTAACAAGCTAAGAACGTTTGTTGTTTCAAGGGTTTTCAAAACATCTTATTTAACTATTAAAATATCATTTTACTTATATATATGATGTAATTTTTAGACGAA